GCATTACCAATATCTGTGGCCCATAGGTCCAGGCCATTCAATTCAGCAAGGAAGATCATGATCTTCAGTCCACGTATGGATACCACACCAGAGTAGACACTGTCTACTGGCACATCGGTCAGGTGCCTGTGAGCGACAAGTCTGGCCTTGTGTCTACCATCATGTTTGCAGGCGTAGACTAGGTGAACTCAAATCTTTTGGAAACCCTTTGGGATAGGAGTTCCTTTTCCCAAATCTATAAAAACCTTGTACTCTGCTAGCTGGTCCATCTCGACCTTGGTGGCATCTGCCCATTTGGTATTGCCGTGAAGTTTGTCAAGTCGAAGTCCATCATTGTAGTCCTTTGGTATCTTGTAACCGTACATGTACTTTGGTGCAGTACAAAACGATCTAAGCTTGGCCTGGTTGATCATGCGAAGAAGCTTCTTCTCTCTCTTTGCTATGCTTTTAAAACGCTTCCAACCAGGGGTTTCAAGTAGGTTGTTATCCCTTGCGTAGATGGCACAGGCCACTGGGTCATCGGCTCCAATGATACTCAGTGGTTCTGGGGTTATCTCCCCATTCTCCCATTCCATTGCTACATTGTAAGTGGAACCCATATATGATGGATGATCAGGTTGAAGTGGTCCTTGATGTGACACGATTCGCTTGAACTTCCAAACAATTGGATTCTCTTCATCAGCTTCCAGTCTCTCCAAAATCTCATTGTAGGCCATCACATCTTCATACTGGTCATTATTGATACTGACACGGAATTTGAGATGTGCTGGGTTGTTGGTTGTCTTGTCATTGTGCTTATCGATGAGTTCCACGATTTTGGCACGATGTACATGTCCTTCTTCATTGGGTTGCATGAGAAAGGTACGACCAATGAGATCTTTGTTCTCGACAACAACGTCCTTTTTATCTGACTCATCATCACTAGAGTAAACAACAGATTTGACATTGTCTGATTTGGATTTGATTACTGTAGGGGATGGCAACTCCTCCCCATCAGATGGATCAAGACGTTTGTTGGGGTCATTGGGTGAGGCTGCAGAGCGGATCTCAGACCGAAACAGGATTTTGTTTGTCTCCGGGTTGAGGATCTTGTATGTCATTGCATGACCAACATGCTCGGCGATGCCTACCATATAACCAATGGATTCAGGCGAATCAGAAGGGAAGCTGGGTTCCTCCGTTCTATAGTATACCTTCTCATAAAATGCAAAGCGGAGAAGAACACTTATGTCTGGAGTAATGCCAGTGAGCACTTGGATGGGAGTCAGCCATCCTAAGCTCTGCACAGCAGTGTGGTTGTAGACAAAAGAAGCGTAACGAAGTGCCAAAAGCCAAAGGCTTGGAGGTGCTCCAGTTTGATCTAGAATCCTGTTGGCCAGTCGCTTTATGTCTTGGTACCTTCGTTCAGCCGGGTTCTGGTTCTGACGATGTGGTTCACTCTGCCAATCATCAATGCAGAGCCATCGGAGGTAGTCCTTCACTGCCTTGGAAACCTCAGCCTGCGCACGATCGCTCACAAGTTTGCTGGGTGCTCCTCGTTTTCGTACATTATCTTGAAGTGTCTGAAGGAATTGTGCATCGGTATTGACACCATATACATCACTGACAAGAGAGGAGATCCCCACATAGAATTGTGCAGCTACATGACCATGTTCAATGTCGGGTGTGTCAGCATAGACAGTATCTGTAGCAACTCCTTCACTACGGCGGTTGACATTGAGGGCTGGGAACGGAGAACGGTAATGACGCTGTAGGTGTGCACTCATGGGTATTCGTGCTAGTTGTGTGGTACAATCAAATGTTTTCTGAATAACCAGCTTGGGTAGCCAAGCAAAGTACTTGCGAAGGCGTTCCCAGTCACGTTCACGTGATTTTACTGCTGAGCTTGGGTTCTTGTAGACAGGTTCCACTACAGGGACCGACTCATAGGCATTTGGGTCACGTGGTGGCGGGCTTGGTTGTTCCGTTTTGTCCTTTGAATTCCATCTCCCATCCTCAGAACGTGTCTTGCGGCGTGAGCTGCGTTGGGGTTCGGGGCATGAAGACTTGTGAGAAGAGTCTATAAGCTTGTCTCGCAGTGGAGTAGACTCAATGTCAAAGTCGGTAGGTGCCTCGGGTACAAAGAGAACAGATGGCCGTCGACGGGACTCGTAAACTTCAAACTCTGGAGGTATGATTGGTGTCACATAGGTGGGGTCTAAATCAAATAGCTCAGCCATGTTGCACTCAAACCAATCGAGATCTGAAGCTTGTCGGGGATGCACTTCCTACAAACCATCTGTCGGTATGACACAGTGGTGGGATTCAAAGAAGTCAATGGCATCATCCAGAGCAGGAGAATCCCTCAGTGTAGTGACTGTTGTATTGCTCTTGAGGATGCCTACTCTATCGAATGGCCTTTCACCTTCTTCAGACCCATCGTCTGGTATAGACTTGGCCCATTCATCCACATCAATGGTAACATCCAAAACACTAGGGTCCCAATCAACATCAGAAGTGAGCACGACATGGGGAATGTCCGGGTTGCTCAGCTCACGGTCTGTTGGA